CCCCTTTAATAGTAAATCTATGTGCAAATAACACAATAGACACAAAACCTTCTTTCATTTCCCAATATTGTTCTTCATAGAGAATTTTGGCCTGCATTTTTCATGTAACTTTTTACCTGAACTTCATCTTGAGCTCCAGCTCCTTTAGCTTCCTCAGAATCTTCATCACTCTCCTGTGAAATGAAAACATTTGATTCTTAACAATTTTCCTGAGATTTTGGTTTTTGTAAGAATAGTAATGTAGAGTTACTGTAAAGTTATGAAAGAGGTTAATGTACTAACTGCAATTTTACCTGCATCTGGTCATCTCCAGTTTCACTGTCAATGTTCATCTCTGGGTCTAGAATCTCAACAACATCCTCAAATACCTAGATCACCACAGAGAGAAGTCAGTGGAGAGTCATAAATGACAAGTTAATTGCATCATCTCCCAACCACACCAAGTTGCATGTAACTTAACAAGATTCAGTAGATTTATTAGCTGTGACTTTCGGGGGGCCATACAAAAGCAGGGGTTCCAAATGCCTCATTATTTGAACATTTGCAACACCATTTTGTTCATCATGGCCAGTGGTAAAACAATTTAGCAACTAATTAAACTTACAGTGAAAATGATATAATTTTTGCCAACCTGAGTTTGACAGTCACAGTCACTACTACAACTATTATAATGTTCAATTAAATTAATATCAGTAGCTCTGTTATCAAACATGCCTCTTAAAAGAGCAATTCTAAGTCAAACTTCTTCAAAGCTGTTTTAAAAGCCTTACTGGCAATAAAGGAGAAAGATTTATGCAGCCACTCAGAATTAAAACGAGGTTGAGCCCAATTACTGCATTGACTCCTGAGATTATAGCCTACCTGTCTTAAATTTAAAAATGAATAAGGCTGATAGTTTCTAAAGAAACTGTTTGGTGCTGCATCGGTGGGGGTAACGAAATAATTTGAATATATCAACAAACATTCTTAAAAAGTTAAATTAGTGTCTTGAAGTCTGTTGGCCCGCACTTTGCCGAGACCAATAAATAATATTCTACAATATTCTAAATGTGGGACAATGAATGCTTAATATAATAATATCATAGTGTTCACAAACACGAATCGGGAAATTCTTTTTATGGTAGCAGTCTTTGCATAAACTTTTTTAAGCTGTTCAGTGATATGCTCCTTAAAGGTAAGCCTTTTATCCAAGGTGACACCCAAGATTTTAAAACTGGGTTTAACATCTACTTTGATGCCATTAATTTGGATCTCATATTCATATGTCAAACAACCAAGAATCATGGCCTGAGCCTTTGCATTGTTAATAGAGAGATAATTTTGTTTAAACCATGTAGTGAGGGTTAACAAGTCTTGATTAACCATAAACTGTAATGCTATCAAAGAAGCATCAGACAAATAGCTGGTGGTTTCATCAGCATATAATCTCAGTGCCATATTAGATGTACAATAATTCATATCATTTATGAAGATATTGAACAAAAGTGGACCAAGTAAAGATCCCTGTGGCACACCCGCTTTAACTATTCTCCAGCCAGAGCATAATTTATGCCATCAATGTTAACTCTTTGGTGACGATCTTTTAGGTATTCACCCAGCAATTCAATTTGTAGCTGCTTCAGAAAAACCATAAGCTCATATTTTAGCCAACAGCAAATCATGGTTTACGCTGTCGAACATTTTGCTGAGATCTACTGATACAGTTGCAACAGTTTCTCCTTTGTCCAACTTTCATGCAAATCCTCAATCATCTTCAAAATTGCTGTTGCACACGAATGACCTTTCATGTATCCTGATAGGTTGCGGGACAGGAGAGGTGACATAAGTGGATAGATCTGATCATAGATAACTTTTTCAAAGACTTTTGATAATGTGGTTAGGATGGTAACCAGTCTGTAATTGGCTTTATCTGTTTTACTTCCTTTCTTGTATACTGGTGTAATATTACTGCTTTTCCATTCTCTAGGTATACTTTGAGTATTTATAAAATGGATGTTGAGCTTTGTAACTTCAGTAGAAATGCTTGGAGAAGATAGCCTCAGCAAATGTGAAGATATGTTATCCATCCCAACAGATTCTCTTGGATTCAATTGTTTCAGAATGTTATGTACTTTATGTGAACATGAGTAAATGCAAAGTCGTCTAGCTGTTCCATGTTGCATATCAAAGACACACTAGGATGGGCATTAAATTCTAAATCTTGAACATTATGATTGATTATATCAGTAAAATTTGAACTTGTAACCCTTCAGTAGCAATGAGTATCATTAATCATGCAAATTTTTAAGTTAAACAAACTCACATCGGGTGGTAGAGACTCTTCTAAATGAGGAAAAAGAGCCAAAGGATGCTGTGTCAAGTTAAACTCTATGTCCTCCACCCGACCTCTTCTTTCTTGTTGAAGGGGAAGTGACCTGACAGATATGATAAAGAACAAAGCTAAACAAATTTTTTTCCCAGATATAAATGGATCAGAAAGTTTGGTTAAAGTATTGTAAGGTCTAATCCACTGATGGAAAGCAGCCGAGTAAGCAAGTGAATTATTTTCTCTGATAGAACTTCCAACACATCAGCAAAGATTACACCAAAGGATGCAAGGAAAGAAAGGTAAATATAGAAAAACTTTTAAAAGCAGCCAATTGATAAACAAACCTTGAAAAACAGGCTTCATTCTTTGTAAATCTCACTCTGTCTTTCATGAATTCATCAATTGTTTCATCATATGCAGTTATGTTAGGTCCTAAACCAGTATTAGTCTGAAAGAAAATAACAAAAGTGGGTTTTAAGAGCAAAAGTATTCTTTTTATCCACAATTTGTCGCATAAAAGTTCTTTAAAAAGTTCTTATGGGCTGCGGACCCTATATCATGCAAAAAAAATAGTGTTTCCTATCTACAATTCGTAGCACAAAAGTCCTTTGAGAAATTCTTATGAGCAACAAATGCTATATTTTACAATACAAAAAATAAGTATAAAATAAGTACCACAGTGAAATATATAAACCCACTAAAAAGAGTAAAACACTTTTTGTAATAAACAAAAATTCTCTCAGGTTAATTTTTTAAGTACAAATTCAAAGTACTGTAATGTTTATGAATTCTGNTTCTGCTGCTGACCACAAATTTTATGCCAATTATTCGTATATTTCATGCTATTTAATCGTATATTAATACTTAGTTATTTATCATTTTATTTAAATTATCTTGTTGTGTCTTTACTTAGTGGTTTTATTACTGCTATTTTATAATTGACACATGAATAAAGTTCATCATCATCATCAATTACCTCCAAGAATTTTGTTTTATCAACCGAGTTGATGATGTAGATTGGCCACTGTCGATAACCCTTTAACTCTCAAGATCTGAGTGCTAATTCTCCCCCCTAGCTGCTAAACATTTCCTTGTAAATTGCTTATGACAATTTGGTGTTCAATCGAAGTAACAACTTCTACCTGATAAATTTTGGTATTCTTACTACCTGTTCACTGGATAATGTATGGATATTATAAGGAGAAGTTACATGTTAATCACTTCTGGGAGTTAAAGAGTTAAGAGCTTCAAAGCTGATGTTTCAAGCATCAGCCCTTCATCATTCCTTCTCTGATAAAGGGCTTATGTAGTTACTAGTTTTGTAAAGAGAAATGAAATATTGGTCATTTCAAATACATAATCATCAAACAATGATTAATTTCAAAGGACAATAATCCCAGTACAGTCACAAACAGAAATCCACCACATGTACATGAGCACCTCAGGAAATGACCCAATCATATAAAGGTAGAGCAAACTTTATCGAATTAAGGAATTACCTTAAAATTTTCCTGAAGAAAACAAAGTATGCCTGTGATAAGATAGATTCATAACCCTTTACCCCCTAACATCAGTATGCATATTCTCCATACTGTTCTCTATACATTTCCTTGGGTGCTGCCAAGGAGAATTTAATTAACAATCAAGAGCTTAGTATATTCTACACAAGGCTAAAAGATTAGGAAAAAATGAAAATGTTTGAACCAAACGTTGCGCCAGTTTGCCATCATCAGGGTTGAAAATAATGACCATCTGCACATACATATATATAATGACCGTCTACACATACATATACATAATGATCCAACAATTCTGCCCCAGTTTGAACAAACAAGTTATTTCTTATGTCTCCAAACTTTTCCCATCGGGAATTTACATAAGTTCTTATGTCTCCAAACTTTTCCCATCCGGATATACATGTATGTGCAGACAGCCGAAAATGTTTAGTTCAACCATTTTAATATTTTCTTAATCTTTTAGCCTTGTGTAGAATATACTTCACTAAGCGAACATTATGGACAATCAAGAGCTTTTCTACTGAGTTGGTGATCATTTCCTTTACTCTCAAGACCTTGACATGTGACTCTGCGGTGACAGTGTAAGAAGAAATAAGATGCTAGTCACTCTAAGCAGTCAAATTGCTTAAAATATTTTACAAGTTGTTTTATATTAGTTATAGTAAAATTATAAACTACAAATATAATTCAATGATAATCCCCTCCGTTTAGGAACCCAAGTCTCACCTTCTTAACATAATTATAATTAGCTTCAGGGGGCAGACCATCTCTAAAATCATCGCTCCCCTTCTCTAAAAACGTCCAAGACGTGCCGATCAGTGTTTCTGAATTTCCTCTGTGCTTTCTGGGCTTTATATACTTTGTTTCGAGCCTTTCTTTATACCTGGGGAATAACAGATATTTTGAATTCATTCGATTGGTACAACAGTCATTCATAGATACTACTAAAGACAAACGAAGAGAAGGTTTAACTTTTCATCTAAATGTTCCTTCTGTCAATTAGAACAGATCAAAGCAAATTTCTCGGCAATCTCTTCAGTAAGCGAGCAACTTGTTCGCCATGAAAGCACCACAGCTCATCTGACGGAACGAAGATGGCTTTCTCAGTAAAGATTCTCCTGCAAAAATGCTGTCAACTACATTTTTAACAGCTTTGTACACTTTTTATTGCATGTGTACAGTATAAAGGCTTACTCACCATGGTTTAAGTCTTTTTTTCCCGTCTGTTTTGGTTTCTACTAATAGAAGGTCATACTTGTGCGCCATATTGGAACACCGCGAAAAGATCACGTTTCCTTGGTAACAATACAATCGGACTTAGTCACCCTCGCGAACGAGGAGAGCTCTGGAAAATCAGAACGTGGGAATATCGGAGTACTGGAACACTACAAAACTCAAGTGGACCCAAGAAACAAACTTAAAGCGTTTACCGAAAAACCCTGGGGTGATTCTGGAAATTTTTTTTTTTAAATACACCCATCCTCTTAACCAATCATTCTAAATTCTAGTAGTAGTAGTCTTTATTTCCTCGCAAGATAAAAAATACATATCTTATGTTACAATATTTGAATGAAAAGTATATATATCTAAATTATAAGCTCACATAGCTAAATTGTATTTAAAAATTAAACGATTAATGAAAGAGTTCTTGGGAGTTAGAACACCGCATACAATTCGTTTTAAAATATGATATACAAAAATACTTTGCTCCCTAATCACTTCTGAGCAAACTCGTGACATTGCAAATTTATCTTTACATTTTGGATCTGTCAATGGTATGTTCTATAGCTTATCATCTTTTGCTTTTAAGTTCTTTTAAAATACTTTTTTTTGATCGTCAGACAGTAAGGTGCCGACGCTGTTTGTTATTCCCACACGAATTTATTAATAAATACAGTTATGCAAGGTTTTCTTTATTTGCCACGCAATGAAAAGAATGCCAATGAAACGCATGGTACTCAAGAGGCAAAATATGCGACTACAAAATAACAAAAATGGCTCAAACTACGGTTTTTTTTTTTTTTTCAGTAAAACCCAGGGCTTGATCACGACCTTGTAATATTATACTTATATCCTGGGGTTTGTTAAAATCATTAGTTTCCGTAAAGAAGCACACCTCCTCTCACTTTACATGGAGGCCAAAACTTTCAAATAACCTACTGATCAGTAATTTTGATCTACTTTCGTTTAAAGAATGCCCTTTGAGTCTCTTAATTGTCTGAGGGATTATACCCTAAAGAACGAATAAAATGCTTTTTGGTTTAAAGGTTAGAAAACGAGTATCGTATTTGCTTTTCTTGTCAACGTTTATCAATGGAGCGATCACGTAAAATAAATAAAGTCAGCAGCGAGGTGAAAATGAAATGTCCATAAAACTGTGTGGAAGCACGTTCAACGCAGGAAAAAACAGCGGACAATAGAAAGCCTATTTGCACACTCACTAGCAAAACCGGATATCTCCCGCTGCGTGCGACCATGAAATCTCCTTCCAAAAATCGAAAGATATAAATGAAAGGGCTAAAAATATAAATATTCATCAGCTTAAACTGCGGTAATAATATTTTTACGTACGTAAAAACTCAAATTGTTAAAAAATCATCCTGAAAAGAAAAATTGAATCTTTTCAGAATCTGGGCCCGAACTGAAATAAAAATATATTTTTATAAACTGCTTAGTTTCGCATAAGATCACGACCGACATTTTTGAGAGCAGAATTTGTTATTTGTGATTTTAAAATTATTATTTCGCATAAAATTAGATCAAATAGACTAACAAAACGGGTATTTCTAAGTTTTTAGGGATTGCGATAAGGAAATTATTTTGTCTTTTCAATCTTTTATTTTTCCATCATTTCATGATTGCACAAAACATCATGACCAAACAACAGTGAAATGATTCTGTCGAATTCTCGTTCTAGCGTTTCTTCAAGTCCAAGAAGGTTAAACTTAGGTGGGATATTGAATTAAATTTCACCTTTGCATTGTTCAGAAGTCAAGTGATTGAAATAAAACCCGTAAGATCAGTGATTTAATTCTTTCGACCAAGTCAGTGGGTGTGAATATCATCAGGATTTAAAAACCACTCGGAAACAACAACAATCTGCCGGTGGGAACATCGTTTACAATCTGTGGAATGTCGCTAGTTAAGGAAAATGAGTTTGGCCAGTTAATCCTAAGCTATTCCTTAGAATCATCTAGGGGCAACGCACTGCATGCTCATAAAACGTTCTAGAATTGTTAAAACGCTCTAGAATTGTTAAAACGTTCTAGAATTGTTAAAACGGAGAGGAATCGAAAACAAACGGCACGTTGCGTTTATTTACGTTTAAAAATTTCGTCATGTTTTGGAAGGATTTGCAAATTTATGCTTTGAAATGGCCTTGCACCTGTCGTTTTTATTGACACTTTTTGGGAGTGCCCAAAAACTATTAATTGAACTATCGTATTGAGTTGTCTCCTGTCTAATGGAATATTCATCTATCGCCAATCTCTTACCATATTTCTATTTGACACAAACCTTCACTAAACTCTAATATCTGCATGAGCAAGCTTAAGGCAATTAACATTTTGGGGATAAAAACCTCCACTTGTTACAGGAAATTTAAGATATTTTCGTTTGCGCGGGAGTTAAGCCAATTTAATTCAAGTTTAAAATTAATTATTCTCAAAATTATTATTTTACACGTTCCACGGGGTCAGGGTTCTCATCTAACGACAATACAATAAAGACTTTTGGTAGAGTCATAAAGAATGATAATAAAGCTTTACAAAAGAAATTCAGTTAAAAAGTTCCGCTCTTTAATTGTATGCTGGAAGTCGACCACCACTTGTCAAATTTGACAGTTCTATAGAGACTTGCCAATCACTAACTCATCGCTTTCAATTAAGGAAAGTCTTAGGGAATTAGTCGTCGAAGCGGAACAGTGAAATTATCAGCCCCTGTGAATCGCTTCCTGTATTCGATTGCACTCTAAATCGATTGGGTTCCCTTGGAGGATGTGTAGTTTTGCCACGGAAACTTATATGATTTCCTCCAATATGCATGGCTTCCACATTTTCGTGTTTTTTTTTGCAAACATCGTTGTTTTTTCCCAGTTTAGTTGTACTGCAGCAATTAGTGGGTCAAAAAATCTCTGCCCAAATATCACAGAATGTTTAGTATGCTCCGAAACGCATCTTGGGCAACCGCCATCAACATACGTGAACGCAATATGCAATTTTCGAGAAGGAAGCAAGTTGACGGACATTCCTCAAAAACTGCCAGCAAAGCTTGGAATATTGATGATGAAATGGCAAAATGTTGGTGTACTAAAACGTAGCTCTTTGAAAGACTTCAGATTCTTGTATCAATTATACCTGGATAACAATAACATTCGGTCCATGGAGGCTGGATCGTTCTATCATCAGCAAAATCTTACACGTCTGTGGCTTCCTGATAACAAACTCGTAAACATAACTCGTGAAACTTTTGAGGGATTAAAAAACCTGGAAGAACTTCGTTTGGATCATAATAGGCTACGGAGGATTTCCCGAGGAACATTTCATTATACACCACTCTTAAGAAAGCTTGATCTTCGGAATAACACAATAAGTATGCTAGAGGAAGGTGCATTTGACGGATTGGATCACCTAGAAGAGCTTTTGTTAAGTTTTAACTCTCTTACAACTATAAACAAAGACGATTTTGGAAATTTAATGTCCTTGAAGACTCTTAAGCTGGACTCGAATAGAATAAGGACAATTGATGGAAATGTTTTCGATTGTGCCCCGCTAATCAGTACACTGGAGTTGAGTGGAAACAAGCTGGATAGAATTCCCATTAAAACCATCGGGAACCTTAAGTTTCTAGAATTTCTCCAAATCAACAACAATCCTATAAAGTTAATAGAAGCAGATACTTTCAACGGGCTACAACGTCTGACCAAAATCGATTTGAGTCACTGCAATATTTCTTCGATTCAAAATGGGTCTTTTGATGACCTCGAACACCTACGAACAGTCTATCTACGTAATAACTTTCTAAACTGCAACTGCCACTTGAAATGGCTACCGACATGGCTGTCAAAGAGACCAGAATTGACATTTATTGGCGCTATTTGTCACGAGCCAAATGAAATTTCTGGAATTGGGTTGACCTCGGCAAACCTTACATCTTTTGTATGCTCATGCGCAGCGTGTAAAATGGATGCAAATTGCAGCGGGAAACCAGTCAATTGTTCCTGTGCGGACAAATGGGCGGGTTCATCCTGCAGTGACACCTGTCGGTTAAACAGTGAGGCTGTCAACTCGTGCCAAAGATTTGGCGGGAAATGCATTTGTGGAAGAAACACGACCATTAACCCATTGTCAAAAGTCACTTGTTCGTTCAACATAACCACGGCAAAGTGCAGCGAAGATGGCGAATTGAAAAAAATCGGATCTCGTTTAGAGTGTAAATGTAAAAAAGGATTTAAAGGGAACGGAATTCATTGCATTGACATAAATGAGTGTAACACAGGGGCGGCCTCATGTCTACCACATTCAGATTGCATTAATACGCCAGGATCACACTACTGTAAATGCCATAGGGGATTTACAGAAGAATTTCCTGGACCTATAGCGCTGTGCAAGGACGTAGATGAATGTTTGCGGCAAAAACGATGTCATTTCAACGCCACATGCTATAATAGTCCAGGTATGAGGTCAATTTAGTTGATAGTTTCATTCTACCATTTAAGTCACTGGCTGATTGAGTGACAAAGGGAGTGAGTCGAATGAGTCACTGTGAAAATGACGTCTGTACTTGTTTTTTCACAAATAATTCCAGATTGCCTTTATTGTCTTCCCTTCGCTCTGTGATTGGTTCAGAAAACTCGCGTCACTTTTCAACCAATCAGATACAAAAGTGATACTGATCCCGAATAAGTCGCTCGCTTTTACCGCGCTTCAGTCCGTTCACTTTACTTTGGGTTCTCATTGGTTCCCTGTGGTATTTTCTTTAATTCCGACTGGCTTCCAGATTGGCCTTCTGACTGGCTAATGTAAAGCCTTAGTGTTGGTTTCAAGACACTAGCACATCGACAAGTGCTATTATTGTTCAAAGACTGAGCAGTTTTCTAACCGTTGATTGACCCACGAACTGAACCGGCTCTTTGACCGAGTGATATATATATCACTCAGTCAAAGAGCCAAAAAGCCAATAAGATATATATATAAATATATATATCTTATTGGACGTTTTGTTGTGTAGTATCGCTGAGTATTTTTACGAGTTGTGCCATATTTTGACGAGCCCGTAGGGCGAGTCAAAATACAAACAAGGAGTAAAAATACTCAGCGATACTACACAACAAAACGTCTAATAAATTATTTATTATCCAACACGCCAAACTGTTATTTCAGTGCGGGCGAATTTCGCGGATATTTATTTACAAGTAGTGCGTAACAGAAGTACGCGAAGCGGAACGGAAATGGCGCGTTGTCGTGTTGCTGTTTCTTTTTTCTTCAATAAATGAAGAAATTTCCAGGTCGTCTTGCTGTTTTTCTTCGTTCGATTCATCTAATAAACTTGGATGTATATTTGCCAGCCATTCTGACTCTTCGTCGTCGGAAATATGATTCAAATTGTCCGCCATTTTTTTTTTCGTAACTACAATTTAATTCTTCGCTTGTGCGATGCGAGAAAACCTGTTTAACCGGTACTCTACAGTACAAATACCGCGTGATATTTGTACTTGTCTATGGCGTTATTTGTACTCTACGAAGTGTAGTTGGATAATAAACTTTATTATTAAAAACTGGACCATTGGATAATGCAATTCAAGACTTTTTATTGGCTTAGCCATTATGGTATATGAGCCAATACACCCTAATCTACAATGGTAAGCCTAAGCGTCAGCTTAAAATTAAAAGGGAGCTAAAATTTAATAAAATTTAATTTAATTTAACGTTTTTAATAAAACAATTATTCCACTCGCGCTTGTTGGATATGAGATGATTATAGCCAACGTAGCGCCTCCTTGGCTATCTATCATCTCATATCCAACGCGCGCTCGTGGAATAATTGTTAAATATTCGATTCCTTTCAAAACTGCTTTGCCTAGTTCAAGTCCTCTGTGTCTAAAAGTCAGGAACTGAGGCAGCCCTTATTACGTCGGCTTTCCTAACATCAAATATCCATTAACATAGACGAAAACAATATGATTATTTATTCCTAAGGGCCTAAATCTCCGAGGGAGTCGTTTAAGTTGAGATGAATATTAACATTTCCCCTTACTTTGTTGCCGCTTGAAAAGGAATTAATCGTTACTATAACCGGTTAAAAAAAATCTCAGCTCGATAACTTAGGAGCACAGCGTACATTTTTACAGGACTGTAAAAGAATACAATTTTATGATCAGATAAGTAAAATACAATTTTCATTACAAAGTATGAAGCTTTTTACCTGAGCAAACATCTCCTTCATCGAAAGGTGTTAAATAAATCTTTAGTCAAAATGTCACCGTTTTTATTAGAAGGAGTTGACAATTATGAAGACATACAGTTTTGCCCGAAGTGCAAAGAAATAAGTGGAAATTGTTCTCAATGTTTGTTTTTGTGTCTCTCTTTTTTATTGATATTGAGCAATTTTTCACTCTGATATGGGTAGTATTCGAGCTATGCTCTTATTAAGAGAGGATAGAATGTCTAGGCAATGTCAAAGGTAGATCTTGGATATTGTTCCTTGCCGGGCGTAATTTGAGAGCGAAATTTAAAAAAAAGAGAGAAGTTGAGTAAAATTCATTACAATGAATCCCCTTTTTTTTAAAAAAAAGAAAGGTTGTATACATTGAAACAAAAAATGTCTGTATTACAAGAACTATGCGGCGCAGCTTACAATAATAGAGCGCGTGTCGAAACAAATTAATTTTCATCTAGTTTATTTGTTTTGCCAGCAGGTCGTCACTGATTTTCAGAGGCAAAACAAATTCGGTACTACAATTTTGTTGACGTTTTGACAATATTTCCGATTGAGCTGGTAGTTTGACCCAACATTGCTAGATAAGAGTCGGCGAGTTTACTGAAAAAAGCAGACCTTATCCTATATTTTTTGGTTGTTGTTACATGGATCATACAAATAAATTTATCATGTTTCAGTTTTATGTGCGAATGTATGTTTTTAAGAGATAAAATGGCAAGTTGCATGACACTCGCTTTTAAAATTACAATCCTTCGTTTAAGGTTGTGGTGGAAACAAATATGAATTAAAGCTTTATTACATTCGAAATAAACATGCATTACATCCGAAAATAGTGCGATATAGAGCAGAAAACCCATGTTGCACCCCAAGGCTTCCATGAGCACTTGAAATCCCAAGTTAGCCTTTTTTTTTTTTTTTTTTTCTCCAGGCTATTAATCATAATTCCGTGTCAACCTGATGAAAGACAGAATTGTTTCGGGTCGTAAAAAATCAAACGTAAATGGAAAACTTAAAATTTTGAAATATAGTTTCGTTTCTAGATCACTTAGCCGGTCTCATTTCGGCGCATACGCTAAACAACCCTTATTCTGCGCAAAACGGCTTAGCAAGCACAAGCTGATGAAAAGAATCAAAGTAGTATGATTCTTGTGCTTGTGTTTCTAAGTGTTTTTATAGACTCTTGTGCTTCCTCCGCCAAAACAACAGATTTATAATTACCTTATTTATGGATTAAATTGTTTTCAGGAAAATATTTTTGACTCTCTTTTTTCTTTTGCGGGAAGGTTCATATACTTGCAAATGTCGCCCGGGCTTCGTTGGAGATGGTGTTTCATGTTTACCAGAACCAGAAAAGCCGAAACATCTCATCATAACAGTCATTTCTCCTACAGAGGTCTCCGTGTCATGGACTTCTGTGGACATTTCTAAAACGATGCTATTTAAGGTGGAGTATAAAAGATTTGGGATTGATGGCGCGGACTGGGAGGTTGTAAGCCTGCAACCAAACGAAACAAAAGCGACTTTAAGAGGGCTGACGCCTTATGCAAACTACTTGGTTCGTGTTGGTAAGACAGTCTTTCAATATCTTGGATATATCCAAATTATTTCGTTACTCCCACCGACGCAGCCCCAAACAGTTTCTCTCGAAACTATCAGCCTTTTTTCAATATCTTAGCCGATAAGGAATAACAACAACAAGTTTTATGACAGTTTTTATGAGAATGTCTTTGATGTTTCGTTACTAAGACCCTATAAAACTTACATGAGGTCAATATCCTCTGTTTCACGGTTTCCCTAACTCCTGTCACTTTGTTTTTGTGTGGACTGGTAGACTTGTTGCCAATGATCGCTGCGATAATCATAACTTTATAAAGTTAATGCTTCTTTTAGGACATATGATAATGATGATGATGATGATGGTGCTGATGATGAAAATGCTGATGACGATTTCTGTTCGTTTCTTTAGGTGCTTTTTCCTTTTTTAACACAACCATTTACAGCGAGAAGAAGCTCTTCACCCCGGGCGTGCATCCGACAAAAGACTTATCCTCAGAGGGTGGTTTTCAAGATAGCGTGGTAATCGTTGTGGCGCTCGTAGTAAGCTTAGTTGTGCTAATAGTCATCGCCTTGTTACTCGTCTGCTTAACGCGAAGGAAGGAGAGGCCCAAAAGGAGAAGCAATCCACAATATGTCCCTGGACTGGAAGACTTGATTGAAATGAGAACCCGAACTCATAGTGGTGGAGCTGATCCCAGAGGAAACAGAGATCGTTTGGAGCTAGGTAAAGCAATTAATCCGTTGGTATCTGGTGGATTTCTATCAGCCTTCTTATTCATGCGACCCGTAGCCATAATTGTTTATTGAAAGAACGTGATTTCACTTAAATTAGCTGATGTTAGACGGCGAGCCATACCCATTGTCTATAGCTTCATGGTGGCAGCGCACACATACACGCATAATTTACCTATTTAATGAGTCAATCATAAATCTTTCTTTTTTTTATAATAGTTCTATCCCGACCTAAATTATTTCTTTGATATTTCGTTACTCTTCAGGCTCTAATTTGCATTCGTTCGCGAGCGGTGCAGTCGATCAAACTGATGAATGGGAAATTGCGCGTGACCGTCTCCAAATTGGTCAAAAAATCGGCGAAGGGCAGTTTGGTTTGGTGTTGGAGGGTACGCTTACGACAGGTGAGTACACGGAGAACATTTCCATAGAGCTTCGTAAGGCCTTCACCGAGGTTTTCACAGTGTCCAGCGGAAACAATATAAAATTGTCAAAAGTGACGTGAAGAATTTATTTAGCAATGATATTTGATGATTTGTTTATATCTAATATCTAGTTTATGTTTGAATTCAAACTCTGGAGTTTTGGGTTAATGTTAATTGTGACTGTTTGTCTAACTTTCGTTACTGGACGTGCTAAGTTTGTCTCTTGACCTTACCCTGCATCCCCACTGAGCACAACAACATACAAGTGACGCGTATTCAATCGACCTAATCGCCTGAAGAAGACAAGCAGTATGCAGTCGAAACGTTGCGATCTACATCCGAAGCGAGTACATCGTGAGACAAACGATTATATTCCTCTTTCGAAGTGTCCGATCTTGTTTTTGCCGGCCTAGGTTTATATAGGTGGGGTGTGCCTCAGACATACTGTGTTTGTGATTGCCTGTAAAATAAAGCAAGCCTATGGTCTAAATTTTTCCCTTACTGTTACAGATGACGGCCCCGTAAAGGTTGCCGTGAAAACCATTAAAGAACACGCTGATCGCTTCGATTACAAGGATCTACTCCTGGAAATGGAAATGATGAAAGAGATTGGTCAACACTCCCATGTCGTCAGCCTGATAGGCACGTGCACCACACCAGGACCGCTGTACATAATAACCGAGTATGTTTCAGGCGGAAACTTACTTGATTACCTGCGGTCCAGTCGTCCGGCGGATGAGACCTACGTGAACATCATCTCCACGCTAAGTTCACGTGATCTTCTGAAGATTGCATTGGACTGCGCACGAGGAATGGGTCACATTGCTCTGAAGAAATTTGTCCATCGTGATCTTGCCGCTAGAAATGTTCTCCTCACTGCTGAACATGAAGCGAAGGTGGCAGACTTTGGGCTTGCGCGGGATGTTTATGGCGATGGGCAATACGTTAAGACTGGTGGGGGGCGAGTCCCTATAAAATGGATGGCCCCTGAGTCCATTCAAGATCAGATCTACACCACCCGTTCGGATGTCTGGTCCTTTGGAGTCCTCCTATGGGAGATTGTTACAATCGGGGCATCCCCGTATCCCTGTGTTCCGGTGAATCTTCTTCTTACGAAGCTCCTATGCGGCTATCGTATGTCGAAGCCAGCTCACTGTTCTGACGAACTGTACGGATTGATGAAGACTTGCTGGCACTTGGATCCTGAAAAAAGACCGACTTTCTCCGAGATTTGCGTCACCTTGTCAGAGATGCTGTCCGAATCAGCAAGATCTTACGTCAATATCACCATTAGTGAGGAACGAATGGGGTCTGGGGTAGAGTTAAGCGAAGACGCTAGTGAGCAGACGACCTCTGTTTGAATTTCTGTCCCATCAGATATTTTGTGCGTGAAAGTTGGAGGGTAACGACTTCAACGAAAGTTACGTATGATGCACGATCCTCGCAGTAGACAGGTAGACGTATCTATAACCGCAGTTCAAAATATATGAACTTCATATATTCATCGTATTCAACGAAAGTGTTACCAAACTGATGTATTGATTAATATGAAATAATACTTACATTGTGGCATAGTTTACAAACTTGCAGAAACAGTCCTGCGCCCTCGATCTCTGGTTATTTTTTTTTTAAATTTACCTTAACCGGCACTAGTTTCAAATTCTTGTCCCAGAATTTGTTTGTGAGGTACGAAGCATTCATTGTGCTTGTGTGAAAGGTTGTAACCAAGAGGTTATAATATTTTGTTATAACATAATTATTGAATTCGATTTGAAAATAATTGTGTTTTGAACGAAGGAACTCTAGAGCCTTTGGAAACGAAAAAGACTTCCTCAGAGACTAAACATGAAACATGGATTTTACTAATACTCGTGCTTCAGATAAAAGAAGTATTTAATATCGGTCAAGCATTTTAATATTTTTTTGCCTAGGAGCTGCTCTCTGTGGTTTTCGACTTAGTGACTCCTTCACGGGCTTTTAGCAGGTCGCATAGAATAAACTTTGTGAAATAAAAATTAAGAACAGAAAAACAGTTTGAGGAGAATGATATGAAAGACTTTGCCTCGCACGGAACAAAGTAAAGGAATGGAAGGCTCCTTTGTACTCATTAATACTGATATACTACCCTAAATGTCTTCAAACCTAATTCATCTTTTTTCCATATTTACAGAGCTTACCTTTTGGCTTTTATCGTTTTCAATGACTTAAAATTATTATTATATTACTTATTCCATTCGTAAATTTTGAGAATCAAAGCACAATACCCAATAAACCCCGTTTTAACACCAGCTGTTTTTTTTTAATTATTCTGTAGAACTGTAAACTGAACGATAGACGTTCACCTCTCAAAAATGTCTTGTAAAGCATAAGCTTAAGCAATGATCGTATTTTCTGTACAAACTTATTTCAGACCCAGTCTTCTTACCCATTCAACTTTTCCCTGTATTGTCTTAACGACCTTGTAACCCGTAAATCCTCTCGTGAGAAGTCATTGCACGTGATCAGTGGATCAGTTTGAAAGTGTTTAGCTGAAATTCCTTATGATTTTCTTTATGTAGTTTTAAAATATATAACTGCTTAATAAGAATTTGGAACTGACATACCAAAGAACGATTTACTTCAAGTTTCTTCAACATTAGTAATAACTTTAATTTGAACTCCTCCGTTTTCTAAAATTTCGTCGTCACATAATAGATTGTTTCAGTCTGAAATTCAAGTGACGTATGTGAAGAATTCTCTGAGTGTCCTCTCAAATCGTTTTGAGACCGCGGATACTCAAGGTCGTCTGAGCCTTCGGTGAAATTATTGCTTCCTAATTCATCCTCTTCAAACTCGCCGCTCAAATCAAAAGAATTTGTAGGAATTTGTTCCAAGCACGAATCTGCTCCTTCTAAGTTAATGTATGCACGTCCAGTCCGCGCTAAAAACTCATGCAGGATGTTTGCTAACTCGGCAAAAGTAGGTCTTGCACTCGCATCCAGTTGCCAGCAGGCTCTCATGACCTCGTACATTTCATCGGAGCACTGAGAAGGCTTCTGCATGCGATAGCCAATCATGAGCTTCCTCATTAGCAGTCGTGCTGGAATCCCTGGGTAAGGACACTGGCCAATTGAGATTATTTCCCATAACAAAACCCCATAAGACCATACATCGGACTTGGAGGTATAGACGTGGAATCGGATTGACTCGGGTGCCATCCATTTCACTGGAAGTCTCCCAGTGGTCGTGGTTTTGGTGTAAACACCCTCTGATTGCAAGTCTCGTGCAAGTCCAAAATCTGTCACTTTTGCTATCTTGTTTTCAGTCAGTAATATGTTTCTTGCGGCCAAATCTCGATGCACAATGTTCAGATCGCTTAGATGAGTCATACCATCAGCGACGTCTTTGGCAATTTTCAGCAGTTCTCGTTCGTTGAGAGACGAGGAGATGTTTATGTAATGGGGATGCTGACACCTACTTTTTCTGAGGAAGCATAATAGGTTTCCGCCGGAAACGAACTCCATCACTAAGTACAGCGGTCCTTCCACAGAGCATGCTCCTAAGAGGCTGACGATGTTGGGATGACTTCCGGCCTGCTTCATGATTGACAGTTCTGCCATCAAGTCTTTGTAATCATGACGATCAGCGCCTGGCTTTAAGGTCTTTACGGCTACTTTTGTTGCTCCTTCAACTGAATGCAAGTAAAATTAGTGAATCATATTGTTTCCCATTCTCTTCACCACGCTATTGCGTGAGTGTGAGTCTAAATGGTTTTAGTAAATGTTGTGCCGCGTAGCACTAAGAACTGAAATGATAGAAGAGAGAATTAACTCTGAAGCGTAAATCAAAGTGCTAAATGAAACCCATGAAAAACCCACTGAGCGTTAGCCCTAGTAAAGGGTATCAGGGAACCACACGATGTAAAGAAAAAACTCTTGTGACCTCGGTGGGAATCGAACCCACGACATCCCGGATTAGATCTACCGTGGCTCTGCCGACTAAGCTACGAGGTCGGACAGAGAAAGTCGGGGTTGATTAAGATGGTGAATCGCGGCGAAGAGAAAGTAAGGGTACATACATAAATGTTGTGCCGCGTAGCAATAAGAACACAAATGATGGAACAGAGAATTAACTCTGAAGCGTAAATTAAAGTGCTAAATGAAACCCATGAAAAACCCACTTTCGCTGTCCGACCTCGTAACTTAGTCGGCAGAGCAACGGAAGATCTAATCCGGGAGTTCGAGGGTGCTAGTGCTACCGCCTCCCGGTTAGCTCAATTGGTTAGAGCGCCGGATTGTGCTGTGCGGGAGGTCGAGGGATCGAGTCCCGGCCGGACCAATACTCATGGTCTTAAAATAACTGAGGAGAATTTGCTGCCTTTCTATAATATCAAGAGACAGACAGATATTCTAGTCTTTTCGGATAAGGACGAATAAACCGCAGGGTTAGGGGTAGGAGACGGTAATTTCCCACACACGAGATCACTGGGGTGGGATGGGGGGGTGTTATGTAGTAAGCTTCTCTGCGAGCATCTCAAGCTTTGCTGTGTCGTCGATCAACAGAGTACCTCGCCTAAGGACGCTGCCCATGGGCCAAGTAGTGTCGTCATCATAGGTGCTGCCCCACAGTTAAATCTGTGGATATACCCGTGTTCGGGCTATAGGCGTACATATGCTACGCGGTACAACATTTATACATGTACCCTTACTTTCTCTTCGCCGCGATTCACCATCTTAATCAACCCCGACTTTCTCTGTCCGACCTCGTAGCTTAGTCGGTAGATCTAATTCGGAGGTCGAAGGTTCGATTTCCACCGAGGTCACAAGAGTTTTTTCTTTACCTCGTGTGGTTCCCTGATACCCTTTACTAGGGCTAACACTCAGTGGGTTTTTCATGGGTTTCATTTAGCACTTTGATTTACGCTTCAGAGTTAATTCTCTGTTCCATCATCTAAATGGTTTTATCCTGGCTTCTAAGTTGGTAAGTAAACCTAGATCTCAGGTTGAAAACACTCGACTGATCATTCCATGATAATAGTTTAATAATAATATAATAATTTAATATTTATATTGCGAAAATTAACATCTGGATATGATCAAATGTGCATCACAACACTTTTCGGGGGACTTTGGCCGGACTGCATCAGCAGTTTACAAACAATCGAAAGAAACTTATTTGAAAATGCCCCACCCCCCCCATAAGCGTTGATCAGGCACGGACAAGCTGGACTTGAGCCTAAAAAGCCTTTAAAATTGTAATAATAAAAATCCTCGAAAGGGGGTTGATCTTTTGGTTTTTCAAAGGGACTATGAAGAGTAGTTATCGATTGACTAAATACCTGTATCTAACGATCCTTCCATTACAACACCAAACGCACCCTCTCCAATGGCTGCAAAGATGTGTAACTTCTCACGGGGAATCTCCCATTCGTCATCTTTTATACATTCTTCTAGTAACAAAAACGTGGTCAGCAGTACATTTTGCACAAAGTTTTACAGAAAGAGATCGTGCATTTCAAAGATGCTGCATAGATAAGAAAAAGAAGGTGACTTTATAGCTACGCCCTTGTGTATCACCGCAATATTACTGACTAAAATGAGACTAAAGGATAAGAAAAGCAGCGCATTTTTCCATTATTTGTTCATCAACTTTCTCTACCACATACTTACCTTGTGTACAAACGTTGTTGGTAAATCCTAACTCGTGAATTTTGTACAGGTCCACATACCGCCTAGTAGACTGTTTTCTTTTTCTCTTCCTGTCCGTGGATCGTTTCGCATTTCTAATCCTTTGGATTTTTTGGGGGACGATGCAAAAACCCAGTGCACCGATCAGGACAACGAAAACAAGCACGGAAAACGTGGTTGTGACTATAGAAATAATCTCATTATGATGTTTAATTGATTGACAGATAACTCCGTCTCCTTGATACCCATTTGGACAGAAGCATCGATACGAGCCTTCTGTGTTAAAGCAGTCAGCGCTGTTGTCGCAGACACTGTGCGCTTGCGCGCATTCATTGATATCAGAACAGTTGAGAAGCCCGTCTCCTTGGAAACCAGGTTTACAAACACACTGCGATGTCAGGTTTGAATAGATAAGTTGAGCATTATCTACACAGACTTCAGACATATTGGAGCAGAAGCATTTCCCTTGTGAAGAGCTACACATCATTTCGTATGACGTGCTGCTGCTGTCATTGTGAAATTGACATGTGCCACAACATGATGGCCCCGCCCACTCGCTTGCGCAATTGCAAGTTTTTTCACCTGAAAAACACTTGAATGACTGTTGGCAGCGGTCACATGTGCAATTTAACTCGGACTTGTTTAAATTCGCCAATGTTCTTCCGCATAACCTCTTGGGAAACTTGCAATTGACTTGTGGCCAGTGGTAAAATGCGTTGAGATCATCGTTTATCCATTCTTTCATCCACAGCATATCACAAGTGCATTCTAGTGGGTTGTTGTGAACAGAAAGCTTCAACTGAGGCATAATTTTCTCCAGATAAATACCATGAAACACTCGAACGTCGCAAAAACTTACGTTGAGGAATTCCAAAGAGCGTAAATTAACGAATACATCTAAAGGAATAAAGACTATTGGGTTTTCACTGAGGTCGAGTTTTTTTAAGGCTTTGAAGGGAGTCATGGCCTTTTTTGGTACAAAAGTTAAATGATTATGTTTTAGGGAAAGGGTCTTCAAGTTTGTAGATTCAGAAAATGCTTCTACTTCAAGAGAGCAAATCCTGTTGAAACCAAGATTCAATGTATGTAGTGATGTAAGCTTGCTGAAATGATTCGTTAAGACTGTGCTCAACTTATTTTTAGATAAGTCAAGATAAATCAGTTGTTTAAGTCCGCTGAATGCTCCTTCACTGATTACAGAAATTTCATTCGCACTCAAATCAAGATTAATCAGGGAATTTAAACTCTGGAAAGTTCCATTAGGTAGTCGAGTGATCCGATTTCGGTCAAGATACAGATTCATTAAGTTTATTAACCCTTGAAATATTCCTGAGGTGAGGTCAGTTAGTTTGTTAGCTCCCAGATTCAATGTCTGTAACATGTTGTTATTGAGAAAGCTACTTTGTCTAATAAATGACATATTATTTCCTTCCATGAAAAATTCTCGCAAGTGCCGAATCTTTTCCATTTCAACAAGGTTTAATCTTGAAATTGCGTTGAAACTGAGAAGCAGTCTCCCAGTGTTAATTGGCAATTCTGTTGGAAAGTCACTAAGGTTTCTCTTGGTGCAGTTGATCGCAACGAGGTGAAGGTTGAAGTTCTTACCATGTTCTTGCACAGCTAAGTTATAGATGTTTGATGTATAGCTACATCCTGAGGTGTAGAATGATCCTGTATTTTCGTGGGCAATGACGAGTTTCTTGGAAAATATGTGAAACAAATAAAATAGAAACGCAACACGACGAGAGGAAGAATCTATCATTTTGAAATATGTTGACTCAACGGTAAAAAATCGCAGAGCTATGAAAATCTTAAATGTTTTACACCAGTTCGCTTTGCCGAGAAGAATCAGTTTGGGTGAGGGAACACTTTTCGTGGAGAAAAGAGTGATCAAAGACGGATGCGCACTAAATTTCCTTTCGTTATTTCCGAATTCAATTTAAGAAGTATTTCATTCCACACGTCCCAAGGAAATTCCATGCTTTTCACTGAGTGAGCTACCGTTACCCACCAAATCACATCTTCAAACTGCGAACGCTTTTGTCTTAACCTGAGGAATACAATGTTAAGAACATTTTGTTAATTTTTCATTTCAGAATTGCGTGTTTGCGTGACCTCAGCAGTTTGAAGCGCTAATAGGACAGACAACATATATCAAGCTGTCTCTTTAACAAATCTTTGAAGTGGCTTCAGGGGCCGGTAAAACATTACCTCATTTTTGTTCTTAATCGATGCCAACGAAAGCGTCGCCAATTTTATTTAATCCATATGCCTTATTCTCGCCGATCATGTCCATGGTTTAAAAATGTAAAGTGTTATCGACAACCTGGGAAGAGGGATATTTTCGTTCTTCGGTCAGACATTTTTCATGATGAGCATATGCGCATTGAGCTGAACTTTTGATACAGGAATTAGTGACAAATTGCTTTAGGGGCGATTTACATTGAGCGCATATTAGAGGCTTTTTATGTTGCTAATAACGTCACTTCCTTTGGTCCAAATGAATTCTGGGCAATAGAAGGTACAAAGAAGTTCCCCCAACAGTGAGGACGCTAAATAAAACTGGAAAAAAAAAACCCTTTCCACCATTTGCAGAAACATGTGCTATTTTTGGTCAATTTGACAAAATAAATGATTATAAAATCTGTGGAGCCTTACACAATTTTGCCAAAGAGCGCCGCAGATATTATACTTTTCTTTAGTCAACCCTTGAACCTTCAGAGTGATTAGCATCTGAATTCTCCCTGCAGTATCCCTCCCCCCCCCCTGAATCTATCATTCATGTCATGAGGATAAGGGAAATAATCGACAAATGAATAGCTGTTGATTGCTAGACAATTCTCCTTGTGAATACTGTAAGAAATGTATTGGGAACAGTATGGAGAAGTTGCATACTGATGTTAGGGTTAGGCTGTACTTCCTCCAAGATGGCGAGGCGTCTGAACCAGGTAAGCAGTGTTCCCTTTAGGGTAGAGGTGGAGTTAGGTTGATTCAGACCAACTCTGTGGTCACATGGAGCATCGGAACATGTTAATTAGGAATTAGAATTACTGAGGGAATTTTATTTCATGGGAGGGTTAAAGGAACAAGAAATAAGACTTGGAAGAGATTTAAAAGCCTCATCTTTGTTAAATGCAGTAGTCCAGTGGTCAGTGCGCTGGACTCTAGGTCAGATGGCCCGGGTTCAAGTCCTGGCTGGGGCTTGACGTTGTGTCCTTAAGCAAGACGCTTCACTCACATTGCTTCGTCTTCTCGGATAGGACGTAAAGCCGGAGGTCCCGTCTCCTGCACCTATCAATTAGTTAATTTCGGCAAGGGACGTTAAAGAACCCACATCACGAGATTACTGTGATGTGGTCTGGCCTGTTTACTGGGAAGGGGGGGAGGGGGCATCTGTAAAAATTTCTCCTTTATTAATTGTAAACTGCCGCCGGCAGTCTGGAAAAGTCCCCCGCACAGTGTTGTAAAGCGCATTAGAGCATTTACATGGAAATGCGCTATAGAAATTGATCTATATTATTATTATTATTATATTAAGGAGACATTTCTAATTGGTTTAACTGAAAAACTCTTGTTACTTCACCTCCCAAGGTACCTGAAAATGTTCAAAATTATTCCTCGTCTTACCCACCTTTCCCTACTTTGTTGACAGGATCAGGGCATTAACAGAAATTGGGACATGCACATATTAGCTTTAGTCAATCAGTCCTCATCTGGGCCCAGTTGTTCGAAGACCGATTAGCGCTAACCCAGGGTTAAAGTTTAATCCAGGTTTCTATATTTCTCTGTTGATAAGCCGTTTTAAAATAATTTTACCAATTCTTCTTAGAGCATTCAATCAAAAAATTGTAAACAAATGGAATTAAAGTGAAATTAATTTTAAAGCTTTCAGATCTTCAATTAAATTTCACGGTAACCCTGGATTATCTTAACCCACCTTCGAACAACCCGGCCCTGAGTTCTGCTTATCTGCTCAAAAAAAGTACAACAGGTATCAAGGGCCAGTCCAGTGAGCCTTTTTTTTTAATTAAAAATAATTGTTTTTCTAACCCTAGGCAAAAATTCATATATTGAAATAGCTTCTACCAACTGACAATTTGAACTAACAATTAACTTTGCTGTTGTCAAAGAATTTCACTACTCTCCAATAATTATCGCATGGGGAATTACTTTACAAAGCTTACAATGCAACAACAAAGTGACAATTATCATCCAAGTTAATGTACTGCCAAGTGAGTGTCTATGTCTATGTGCTCCCAAATTTCTACTGTTATCTACAACAGCACTGACTGTGAAACTGGATTGCTTAGAATTCATTATAATTACTTAAGAGGGTAACAGAAAGTGGTATAAATTCTGTATTATTAAGTAACCAGCAACAGTCATGACTAACCCCAGAGTGAACGCCAGGGCTCATTCAGACTTTGCAGAAACTAATCTAACCAAATTTCAAACCAGACATACCACACTTGGGAACTTCACCCTTTAATTCCCAACAGCGTCACCCCTGTATCAAACACAAAGGTAATGATTTTGAACTCAAGAAGCTCTTGATTGTTCAACAAATTCTCCTTGTACAAAGGACTAATACTCCCTATCCAAAAGACAATTACACTCAGAAAAACACCATCACACTGAAATATTTTATACTAAGAACCAATAACCATGTGTTCAAAGAAAAACAATCAAAAGCAATAATAGCAAGAACCATAACAAAACAGATACAGAAAATTTTAACTACCAAATGACTGCTGCCCAACTGAATGTACAGTAACCATTTTTGTGATTGTTCATATGTTGAAGCATCAAGACATTGTGAAAATTTTTTTGCTTTAATTTACCTCTTGTGCATTACATAGAAAAACTACTGTAAGATATAATCTTATATCTGTCTATACCAATTCTCTAGTAAATTTCATAAGCACATCAAAATTAATACCAGAGAATAATCATTATTGCAAAACTAGACCTTCAATTTTGATCATAACAATCAGTAATTAAAGCCAAAATTTACAAAATTTACTACTAATGTTATTACACTCTCAAATATATTTCATACAATTTTGCAATTTTCAACATATGCAAACTGAGAAATTCTGAGAAAAATATTTAACCCACAATTGTTGGATGAATGAGTTAAATCTCCTTGCAAAAATGACAACAAAGTAATTTTTTTAAAAGGCTAATTAAGGCTCTTTAAGACTTTCACTTGCTGTGTTAGTTATGGTAAATAAAAACAAATTAAAGCAAGAATAAAAAAAAATCAAAATAAAAAAGTTGAGAAAGCACCAACTAAAAATTTTAAATTCTCAGTTTGTCTAATTTTGAAAATTGTTAAAAAAAAATGGATACTACATCTATAAATTGCTAAACTTGTAATAAAGGTGGTGATATTCTTCTACAAAGATAGCAAGAGGGTTTCTTTCCATTCTCAAGAGGAAATGGACACCACACTTTACGCATCATAAAATTGACCAAAAACACCAAAAAGATTCCTCCGACTGCATCAACACCATAGTGGTGGTTGGAATACAGAGCAGCCCAGGTAATCCACACAACATGAAACATTGCAAACTTTTCATTTATCCAGGGTCCGCTCACTAAAATCACTGCAGGCCACGCAACGTGCAGTGAAGGAAATGCTCCAAACGGCAATGGAGAAGCTGCATAAAGTCCGTGAAAGAATGGCACTCCTAAAGCTGCATCAAGTCTGTGAAATCCAGCTTCATTCGCTCCTGCTTTAAGAACATCTCCCACGGGACTAAAAACAACAGAGTCCACATACCAAGGTGGTGCTGTCGGGAAAAGGAACTGTATGATGGTTGCAATGAGATTCACCCAGCCAGCACACCAGAGAAAGGGAAACACTCCACGAATGCTATGATTGCTTACAATTTTAAATAAGATGAATAGGAATGGAAGAGCAAAATGAAATATGTAAGGAACTGCAGCAACACAGTCAAGAGCAGGATGTGCAAATTTTGCCAGCATTTGATGAGGAAGACAATGGAAAACCAACACTTCCATCCACGGTAAGAAAGTATGGTTGGGTTTTGTCACTTTGCCAAGTCCTAAAATTGTTCGTAGAAGTGAATAATTCGAATAAACTATGAGGTATGCCAAAAATGGAATGGCAGCCAGTAAAGTGTCTTTAAAAGGTATCTTTTTTATCTTTCTTGGTAGTTCTTCAAACAAGGAGGTTACTTCAGCCTGTAAAGAAAAAAATAATGAACTCTCTCAGATTGTTTCTCTTACAAGTCTGACCCAAACTGGAATCAACCACTTTCAACAGAGAGCAAATATAATTGGTAGCTAGGATATGTATCTTTGATCGCATTTTTACCCCATACTTTCACAACTAAGGGTTGACCATTGATCAGAAAACTCAGAAAACTCAGTCTTTCCACTGACTTGACCCTTTTTGAAATTCTAGAATAACTGTAGAATATGCCAGAGGGTTGAATTTCAGGAAAATTCTGTAGCTTCCTTGCTTCCCTAACCACCCACATGTACCCAACACTGACAATATTGGAAGGTATGTAAAAAAAATGCTGAAAATTTTCAGCTGTTTCTTTGTTTCCATATCACTAAGAACAATGAAGTTTAAATTTCTCTCCATCTTAGATTATCTATCATGGAATTTCACAAAAACATATTACAGAATCACTCAAAAAATTGCTAGAGAAGAGTAAAACATGGACATATCTGGCAAACATTGTACTTAGCATTCTTTGATAAAGCTGTCATAGTTGTAGTAGTATGACATGATATATCAAACAATTTCTTAATAATATTCCACAAAGAGATAACAACAATCATACATTTTAAAGCATAAGAAAAAAAAAGGTTTGCAGCCAAAAAATAAACCAATAATCTCCCAAATCAAAACATTGTGTTTACTTTCTTGATTTATGGATGTTTTGAAATATCACTCTCATTTGATATAGAAATTACTTCCAAAAAATAACCCTGACAAAGAAAATGAAAATTCACAGTATCCATCAATTTTCCAACTTCGCACTTGCAATTTTTAAGACCACTTCAAGCAAATGTTTATTTCGTGGTTCAGTGCAACATGATACGCGATAAATGTTGGCATATGCACAACTTCGCGAAATGTCATCACCCCAACCGCCGGTAAGACCAAAATTCAAGCTACAGTTATCCATTTGTACTCTAAAAACATTGGAATTGGATTTCGTAATTTGACAAATTCCTCAAGCAGACTTAGAAGGGTTTGAAGACAACACCCATTTCGTGGCAGATCAGATTCGCGTGCGTGACCTCCTTGAAATGTATCAAGTTCCAGGACGTTCTATGAAATGGACGACTTTAGTAACATCCTCACGTAAAAGGAACTTCAAAAAAGGCTATAAATCTTTACATATTTTCTCCGAAAAGATAAACCACGACACAGCGGTTAATTAAAATATCCAGTTAGTTTTGAATATCCGATGCAAATCAACGGAGTCTTCTTTATGCGTCGCATACCTCCCCTTGGGTCAGCACGCAACCTCTTCATAGTGCAAAAACGATGACAAGATATCATATGAATACCCTCTCGAGGCAATGGATAAGCCTAGAATTACGCTTTGAGGCTGGGAAAAGGAGAATATTACAAGCGCCCCAACTAATGAATTATTTAAGAAACGTTGGAATAATTCTACGCTTCGTTGGCCCCGAGGAAAAGCTCTAACACCCAGAGCAGCAATGAAATGTTTACACGGAAATCGCAACTTCTTGACACATGAGCAAGGACATCCAACTTCAAAATTCTATAGAACTCAATATTATGAACATGTCGATACAACAGTGGAAATAAATTAAGCGATTTCTAACACAACAAACGACTACTCTCGCTCGCTCGTCAAATCATCTAATGACGAAAACAGTTGCTCGTAGCAAACCCTACCTGTTTGGTTTCCCAATAGATTTCAAACGCTTCCTTTAGCGACCTTGCAAAGCGATTCCATGAAATCAGAATCTGCAATAAAAATATACAAAAGGTTCGAGAACTTGAATAATGAGCACTAGGAATTGCAAGGTATTGAGGAAACAGTTCTAACTTCTAACTTTGTATACATTAGAGGCACACGGGAGGTCACATTCACGAAGAGTGCAAAGCAAACACATGTAAATTACCCTTCCAGTTTTGTCGTGGATCATAACGTTCTTATCCCCTCGGAAATGCTTTCCAGACCTCGTTGTCATAGTGCTTAGTACTTTATTTATATTCAAAGTGAAATGTTTAACTTCCTTGAAGCAGCTAGTCGGTTAACCACGAGAACTTTCGATAGGCAAAGTGCGCCAAGTCAAACTTTCTTCCAACGATTCTCCAAAACAAATCTATCTTTAGGAAATGGTGCTATCTCCACATTGTCTCCTCTCTATAAATTTTCAGAAGAAATAAGTTCATTCGGATTAGCTGCTCAGATCTTCTCTTCAGGAAATGTTGTGTCAGGCGAAGTTGTGAAATACAACCAATATGGCGTTCGTAGAGCGGGCGTGTCGTGAATCAACAAAACGAAGTTAAATCTAGACGTCCAAATTCAGCTTCAAGTCACCAGATTAAGCTCCCTCGATAGAAAAGAGACTAAGAAACAAGCTTCCTTTCACTGTATGGAGTTTCTTCGGTAGAAAAGCGTGTTCGAATGTAGTAACTTTCGTTACAACAAATCGCTCACTCCATTTCAGTGAGGTGTTGAGAAAGAAGGATGTGGGAGAGTATGCTGGGAAATAACGTTTGTTGCCATAACGATAGCGCAAAGTCCAGCGCGCAACGTCATCGATATTTTTTGCTCGCACCGGAAGTCGTTGGCCCACACGCTTTCTTCACACCTTTTTCTCAGCTAATTTCAAATGGAATTAATTGCATGGAAAGATTTTTCAATCATCATTTTGATTTCACGTCTAACATTCCAATTTTTTTTCTTCCGACGCTTGACATTGTCTTCCGCTTAAAAATCGAAGGAGAAAAATCAATTTTGTGCTTTACCATATTTGGTCATGAGGTTTGATCTAGGTAGAATCGATTCGAATGCGAGTGATTCAACACCACGTGTAACTCATTTTTATGGCTTAGCTTGCATTGAGACAAGAAAGAGCGATAAGAGAACATACAACGATGAATCCAAAATAACTATCCAAGACAAGAGAAAAAGAACATTCGTTAAAAAAAAAAAAAAAAAAAAAAAAAAAAAAATCAACAAAAGTATATGAATAAATAATCGACAATCGACCGCATATGAGGACTTTCATTTTATTTCTGTCTTTCAGACCACGTGCGGCCAGTACTATTATGATCCTACAATTTTTAACGCTAAACTCATTGGGCCGTCGGAATCGATCGCTACACCACATCATTGTCTGTTGCTAGAAATTTCCAAAAGATATAAATCAATTGAATGATAAATACTCCAATTTGACGACTCGTTGATTCAAATCAACGGCCCGCCCAACTATTTTAGCGCAAAAATGGACGGCAAATGCCGGCACAATGTTTAGCCATAAGCAACCCGCGACTCTCCTTTCACTTCACGAATATTGTTTTATTTGCCCTTTTTTATTTGCTCTCCGAATCTATCACGCTTCGAATCTATTTGGCCTCTGCTCTGCACACTTCCAGTTATAAATGGAAAACACGTGTACTACTCAGGGGGTAGGAGGCGGGAGACTGATGGAAACACCCTTCAAAGAAAGTAAGATGATTTTCATGTTTGTCACGAGTTTGAGAAAAAGAGAAAAAGTCTGTTTACCCCACAAGGAGCTGATTCCCAAATCTTCTGATTTTGTGCTCCGATAATTGCCCTCTATATTACAGGGAATTCCATCGTGGGTTGTGTCTAGAGTCTTGCATACTGCCTATAGACCAGCAATGTGATTGATTGAGTGAGTGAATAGAAAGACAAATGGTAAAAGTCTAGTTCGATGGAGGATTGATATCAACACTGTTATTCTTTCCTGAAACAACTGTCTTGCAAAGTATCCGCCTGCATGCTTGAACGTGACCGCTGGCCGCCTCCGCTTACAGTTCTAGAAAAGGCTTGCTTTAAATTAGAATAACCGAGAATGTTTGGACCTCATATTGCTCTAGACAATGAAGTTCGTAACAAACCAAAAATTGTCGTTCCTGCATTGAACGTTAGCTTCCATGGTCTTATGGGAAGAAAAATGCCGTAGGTTTGAAACGTGTTTTTAGTATGTCCTAGCGACAAGAAATTAAATATGGAATTAGGTTTACTTTTTATTCGTGCGAAAAAAAATAATGAAAAAACAAATGCTACACAAAGCAAAAACTGTTTGATTACTGAAGTAAAGAAAATCCCTTGCAAAATTCCGAAAATACGAAGTTCGTTCACACTAATAAATATATCATAGATGATAATGAATAAATCTGTCAATCGCTATCTGAGTCGTTTATGGTGAACCATTTAAAAACTTGCTCAGGAGCTGAATATTCCTATTTATTACACGACTCGGGCAGTCAGAGGGCTAAAATCAACCAATCAAAATGCTCTATTGCCAGTCAATATTCTCTCAGTATTGGACCGGGCACTGTCCCGAATGGTCCCGAATGATACCGCACTTGTGTCCATTTGAACTTCAGTCGTATAATAAATCTCTTATTAACCAAGCTTGCTCGGGACCGTACTGGAAGAATATCGGCCCTCGGTCTTTTTTGTACGGACCGAGCGCAGCGAGGTCCGTACTGTGAAGACCTCGGGCCGATATTCTCCCAGTACGGCCCTCGCGCTTGGTTAATGAGATATATATATATTCCTATATTCCTATTTTTTTTTTCAACAACTTGCCGTCAAATATTTCGCTCACAGAGCGGGTCTCGATGGGGTGATGGCTTTTACGGCTAACGCTTAACCAATTTACGGCTAACATTTTATATCTTTCCATTGTTGTCTCCAGAATTTTGCTTAACAGTTAACTTTTGTTACGACCAACGGTTAAAACGTGTTAATTTTTACGCCTAACGGCTATTTTTTTTGGCCGTTTTACGGTTAACCGTTAATCACATTGAGACCTTAAGATTGGACTGAACTCACCCTCCATGGTTTCATCATGCCACAAATAAAATGTTTGAAGAGTATTAGGCCTTTCTTCGAACAGATATTTTTTTAAACGAAATGAGAGATCTGAATTAACAACTTGGTATGATATCAGAATATATACAACTCCAAAACAAGTATCGAGAAAGCTTATTTCTAATTGGCTTAAACTCTAATCAATCGAGGGCTGTATAAATTGATTAAAACCTTTCTTGTTCGTCAGATAGTACCAACTTTTTTTTCTTCGTTAGTTGTTTCCATTTATGAATAGTTCTTTCCTGTGAGATTCTTTTTCGGATCTAATTCGGTTACCACTAAAACAGCATGGAAGAGAATGGATATAATGGAAGCTTTTACTCGTTCTATGACAATACTGGTTCTCTTCAAGTGGCGGCCCCTTGAATTCAGTGAAGCTGTGTACATAGAGATCCTAGCTTTATGAACTATACTTAACAATTATTCCACGAGCGCGCGTTGGATATGAGATGATAGATAGCCAACGAGGCGCGTAGCGCCGAGTTGGCTATAATCATCTCATATCCAACAAGCTCGAGTGGAATAATTGTTTTATTAAAAACGTTAAATTAAATTTTTAAATTTTATTAAATCTTTAGCTCCCTTTTAATTCTAAGCTGACACGTACGCTTGCCATATTTGTAGATTATGGTATATTGGCTGATATACCATAATGGCTGAGCCAATAAAAAGTCTTGAATTGCATTATCCAATGATCTACTTTTTAATAAATATCAATATTCAACGTTGGTTACAAGCCAAAACAAAACCCTGCTTATTAGCTCTCGTTTTATACAAATAACTTCCTCCTCGACTTGTTAAAAGGGTCTTATATCCAAATAAATGTGTGATTATATAACGTTTGCACGGTGGGCGGTGTAAATTTTATCAAGATTTCATCGAGGAAAATGTCGGTAATCAGCGGACTTTAATGGTCAGATAAAAAAGACATACTAAGCAACATAGCCAAGGTTTTCACAAATGCTGACGACCGAGTCTTTACTCATCCATATTTCTGTGTTGGTCATACCTTGACTTAAATCATCGTCCAAAGCGCGAGCAAAGTATGAGCCGCACCTGAAATGACAAACACGCGAGCTGCGGTCTCCGCTTTGCACCAGTCCTTGCACGTTCGCTCTATCTATTCATTAAAACAGGTGCGGACACACATGCAGGCACGGACACACGCGCGCGCACTCACACACGCACGCACGCATTAGCACAAAAGTTGTAAACATACCACGTTAGTCATGCTCTTCTTCTAGATGTTTTTCTTTGTACGCAGAGGAAGTACTAAAAATACTCAGTAAGGATGCATTATTACATTTAATTTCTTTTCAATATATCTTCAAAAAATAATCAAGTTCTAGATAAAACTCTTTTGTTTCCTTGTGGTCGGTATCCATTACTATGTCATGTCGTTTCTTACAATTAAGCTTTATGAAAAATCTATCAATCTACTTATTACACCACGATACTGTTGGGTAGAAGGGACAGCTCACTGCAATTAACACAACGGCTAAACGTCTGCGCATGTGCATACGCTACAGTGACATGGTGGCTGTCAGTCAGAGTCAAGTTGTCCCACACGAAGTACAAACAACCACACATTCTAGTAAGTCACTGTGTTTTAAAAGAGTATAACATTTTTGGCCACTTAAGTATATACTTCTTTCCCTAGTTTGGTTCCTTTTTGAGATTTCTCCGAGCATTTCAATTTTAAAAGCTTATTTTGCGAGAAAGTGTTTGTTTCTTTACGTATTCCTCTCAAATTTTTATGCTGGCATGCGACTGGCCTTTGCGCATGCTCGACGTTTGACCGCTGTGTGTTACAGTTTCGACGGCAGGGATCTTTTAGACTCTATTACCAACGGCTGATCAGAAAACGAGCCTAGGCTCTTCTTCCGAACTTCTTTTGAAGATCGGAAAGCGGTTCCGAGCAAACGGCGGAAATTGAGCCGATGGGTCGATACTAACACTTTATACATTTTTTGACCGTGGAACAATAATACTGACATACATTAAACAACCTTACTGTGATTTTATCAAGATTTGCTACGCTGGATGATTCGTCATTGCGATGAACTCACCCTCACGCCTATCCTAATGCAGCCTGGTAATTCTATAAATTATAAATTATAACTGATGCGGAAAACCTCGAGAGCGGGGTTTTATCTGTAAGTGATCTCACATGATGCTTGTTTATCATCACCTTTTCTTAAAAAAAACTGTATTGATACGGTTGACTTTCTAGCGTAATGATATAAGCCTCGTCAAGCCCTTTTCGGCCTATTTACTCAGTTAGAGATTATGCACCCTGGTAGCTTTATTTAACGCATAGAAGTAATTTTTTCATTTCTCGATCGAAAAAGAACTCAACGTGTCGCAGAGTCCTATGACTTAGGAGTTTAGAGTACTGCCTTTTTGTAGGAGTTCTTATTTATCAATTTAACGTTCATTCATTATTTTAAATTAGAGGATATAATGACACAGTTTTACAACCATTCTCTGACGTGGTCCCTTGAATAAACAATCTGCCCTTTCATCAGACAATGAATCTAATGTTTGTCTTGCTTCCGACTTCTCGAGTCCATGCCATGTTTTTTGGGATTTTAATTGTTTCGGGGAGGTCTTGTCAAGTTTTTGGCGTACATTCACAATCCACTTTTCCAACATTTAAGATTTGATAGTATTCTGCATCAGTAACACAAAACCACGACTTTTACCCTTACGGTTGAATTTTAGCCGAGGTATATTTCATGCAGATGGCCAGATCTGATCGATCAAATGAAGATACTTGACTGTCTAACACTAGGTTAGCAACGAATTGATTGAAAGAATTGACGCCTTAAACTCAAGTTTACCCTAAATCGTTGGCTCCACGAAATCTTGCAAAAATTATGGTCTGTTTCAATGTTTTTGCGTCTCGATAAGGTAATAATCTTACCATTTAAGATGGATTTTTTGATATCGTTTCCCCCTCAACTACTGATGCAGCACCAACACTTCCACAGCAAGGGCAAGTCACTCAATAGTTACGAAGTCATGGTTTGCAGCCTCAAACAACTTCCCTCCAAACACGATGTTGGGGTCCCTTCGTCACGGAATAAACAGTTCTCTGATGCGAGGAGATTGCAAGAAAATACTCAGGGCTGAGACTGACCCGATAACAATCGATGCTAACAGCAAAAATCGATCTAAGATCCTGGCCGCGTCCTGCCATTGCTTTTTGTAAAATTCTTCCCTGTTGAAGTCATATAAAGGAAACTTCGCCTCTGATATCTGTACCTCTGTGGCATCGGTTTCAGAATCCTGCGGTTTGCATTTGACTGAGCGCTTCCTGACGACGTGATTTGTCGCAATGTTCCCATTTTGGGCCAAGGGCACTTGATCACGTCCCGCGCGAGACTCCTCGTAAAGGTCCATTTCATATTCAATTGATTCTCTTTCCAAATCAAATGCGTCGTTCCTTTTCCTGTCACTATTTGTGTTTGATTGCATTACTTTCTGTGTGCTGTCATTTAAAGCTTCACCGTTTGTCAGATGCCGATTGCAGGTGAGCTCATAACGCACGATCTTGGCAAGCCATTCCAGCACGATCTTTTGGAACCAATTCGGCATCTTTGTGTTTCGGTGGTGAAAATTTAGAATGATGCAGGTAGCGCCGAGTGCTGTGCCTATCTCCATGATGGACACTGAATAGTACATAGCTACATGAAGGCAAAGTAAACAGGTTTTAACAGCAGCGTAGGCGAGATTTACCTCCGAGGGGGCCTTAACCGGCATTCAGGGAGTCTGAAACTAGTATCTTACTGGCACTTAGGAATATGCCCCGTTGTTTTATTATCATAACTGACATTTATTAAGTGGCTCCTGGTAGAGATAAATGACACTCACCCAAGGACCCTTCCCTTGCACTCACCTAACAGAGGAAAGTGTTCTGAGCTTGAGGGAAGCTTCTCAGAGGTCAGCTCTTGGAACACGGCCATCGATAAAAGGATGGTGATACCCAGTCCCACTCGTTCTCCAGACTCTGCTGGAAGAATAAACTCCAGGAAGATGGTACAGGCTATGAGAGTACAGGGCAAGATAAGACTCATGACGTAGTAATAGGTGCGTCTACGCAGTAGCATCGTGACGGTTAAATCAGCAACCGGTAAATCGCAACAGTCGTTTTCTTTCTGTCAAGAGAAAGATAACCTGAACTCATTATATACGTCTAGATATCAAGTAAGGCAGTCTCAAACTGGATTAATCAGACAAAGTCATTCTGTAAAAGCTTGATGTCAAGATGAAAAGGAAAGTTTTCGGTGTTGTTCAAGCTACTGTAGTTTGGCAAAGTCTCAAGGATCTTTTCGCAGTTTACTAATGATTGGGATTGAAAATGCTTGTGCAATCTCAACTATGAAAGGTTCCTTTTCCAAGCTAGACATCATCATTTTGTTCTCAAACTACATCAAAGTGTTCAAAGACTTAGTAGAATTCCGTTTGCTGACTGTGTGGTGTTTGTCATTGTCACCTCGTGCCTTTCGATGGTAATCCACTCCACGGTCCATTCCTCGTTTTCCTGGAACACGTCAGATCCTCTGTCTTTTTTAGCTACAGCTTTTCCTCCAGGAAGACCTTTCCTCTTTCTTAAGTCTATCGTGCTCACGTCGTGCGACCAAGAGGCGAAAACCATTTTACACTGCTGCTCATCAAATGGAAAATACTTGACGTTAATGTTACACATGCTCTTGTAAATGATGTGAGCCCGCCATGTTTGGTTTCCATCATGGCGGACCTTGACGCTCGTTGTGAATCCGGATGTTGCTTTTAAGCTGAGGCGATCATCAGCGCTGAGGAGAGGGATAAAAATTGTTTAACTGGTTAGAATTGTCGCGTTAAGAGGGATGGCTTATCATTCTCACCTGTTTAAGGAAGGAAGCTGAAAATCAGAAGAGGAATCCCTAGGAAAGAAAAGTTCGTATTGAAAGGAGATCGAAGAAAAAGGGGGCCTTCATCTTATTTTTCTGGGAGCAGCATTGCAAGCGGCGTATAGTTATGATATACTTTTGAAGGAACAAGAAGGCACCTAACAATTGATCTAAAGGCTTCCGTACAATAAGGTTTTTTTTTAAGTAAAGCCTTAGCAATTCCCGTGATGTTTCTTCACACTGAGTGTTCACACAGGATGGCTCAGGCTAGTGGTTATATACGGATCTAATAGTAGTTTCCTAGGAAGAAACACTGAGAAGAAGAAGACCCAGAGTCGCAACGACGCAAAGAAAGATCGAAAAACAGACAGGCATTTAAGATTGAAAGGGAAAAAGGGAGAAGAGATAATGATAAATGTTGCAAAGAGACAAATAGATAGAGGATGACCGACATCAACACAGAAGTATAGAAAGATGTCCCTGATAAAACAGGCCAAAGAAATCAGGCAGATAAATCGACGAACAACCCAGACTACCGACCGACTGACACCATAGTTGGACAAGTACACGAAAACAGATGAACGGATACAAATACAGTTACTTATTCAAGACTTCATCAAAGCGAGGCTTACTTGTTGTACAAAATGATGTCAGGCACCCAAAGCATTTCGGGAGGAATGTTCATCACCTTGTTTCCTCCGTACTCCTCTGGTTTCCACGTCATGTATGGATTGTTCCAGTCCTACGAAGAATAGCGTCATTCTTAAACGAAAACGACTTGAATATGGTATAACGGAATAGCAGGGCATCCCTGCAAAAAATGCTTGTACTTCTTAAGTTGAACAAATGAACGATGAATGTTCAGTGAACAATTTATCAAGATTGTTCGTCCGTAGATGTCACTTGGTGACAAAATCAACAGCAACAACAAGCACAGAAGCAGCAGCAAATCTGATCATGATGAATCATGCTCGGAATTAAATCAAGGAAGAGTTTATTTGCAGTTTATTCGAATACGTTTTGGCTCAATGAGCCATGGAGGCAAGCCCTCTTCTTTCTTCATTCTCTTATGATTTTTCTATCGTACAGAATTATAACACTACAACACTACAAAACTTCAATATCTCAATGCAACAGTATTTCAAATTAAGAATATCATTCATTATTATTATTTGTTCCTTCTCGCAAATATCAAGCAGGAAGGGACAAACTTACCAAGCGAATCCAAAAGTGAGTCTTGATTATCTGCTCTTTTTCATCCTGCATAATTGAAATTATTCGTTAAATTAGTTTGGCTGGGTGAGCATCTTGTGACCATCCTTATGTCGAAATACGTAACCATAACAACATCAGTCACATTTCGAAAACACTTTGAATTTCAAACTAAGATTCGTTGACCTGCATTATACATGCCTCGAATTCGAGCTCCGCCTAATTTCTTCTTTGATTGGCATCAAAAGGAATAAAAGTTTTTTGCAAACTCTTTTTAATCGTTGCATTTTTGGTTACAATGTATATATGAAGTTCATATATTTTGAACTGCGGTATTAGATACGTATGATGCACGATCCTCGCAGTAGAGAGCGCCATTTATACAATAGCGAAATTCAGACCTGAAAAAAATCAGGCCTGTCCGG